CTTTTTTTTATTTTGATTCTATGGCTTCATAGAATTAAAATAAAAAAATTTTGATCAAATTTGAATAGCTGAATGTCGAGTAATGTTCATTATAATTTAAAAAAATATTTGGCCACAGCTTTTCTTTTAAACTTTGAACGAAGATTACTTGGAAATTACCTAGTCAAATCTGATCAATTTTTTTTTATTTTAATTCTATAATCACATAGAATTAAAATAAAAAAAAATTTGATCGAATTTGACTAGGTAATTGCCGAGTAATCTTCGTTCAAAGTTTAAAAGGAAAGTTGTAGCCAAATTTTTTTTTAACTCATAATGAATATTACTCGACACTCAGCTATTCAAATTCGATCAAAAATTTTTTATTTTAATTCTATGAAGCCACAGAATTAAAATAAAAAACGTTTCATCAAATTCGTATAATTAATCTTCAAAAAATCATCAGTTAAATGTTTTTAAAAAAAGTTATAAAAAAGAAATGCAGCAACAAAAATTTCACTTAAATTTAAATAAAGATTCTTGACAACCGACTATCCGAATTTGGTGAAACCTTTTTTATTTTAATTCTGCTTCATGGGATTAAAATAAAAAAAAATTTATTGAGTTTGAATAGCTGAATGTTGAGTAATATTCATTATAAGTTAAAAAAAAATTGGCCGCAGTTTTCCTTTTATAGGCACCTAAACTTTGAACGAAGATTACTTGGCAATTACCTAGTCAAATTTGATCAATTTTTTTTTATTTTAATTCTATGTAATTATAGAATTAAGATAAAAAAAATTGATCAGATTTAACTAGGTAATTTCCAAGTAATCTTCGTTCAAAGTTTAGGTGCATATAAAAGAAAAGCTGCGGCCAGAATTTTTTTTAACTCATAATGAATATTACTCGACATTCAGCTATTCAAATTTGATCAAAATTTTAGGTTGTATATCAGAATCCCAACACACAAAATCCCGACACACAAAATCCCGGCAACAAAATCCCAATACACAAAATCCCGACAAATTAAATTCCTAATTTTAATATTTTTAGGATTTTAATTTGTCGGGATTTTGTGTATCGGGATTTTGTTGCCGGGATTTTGTGTGTCGGGATTTTGTGTGTCGGGATTCTGATATACAACCAAAATTTTTTTATTTTAATTCTATGAAGCCATAAAATCAAAATAAAAAAAGGTTCACCAAATTCGGATAGTTGGTTGTCAAGAAATCTTCGTTTAAAGTATAAAAAAAGAAAAAACTCATCCGATTTTGTTTTTTTTCCAGATTTTCTATATTTTTTTAAACTTCTAGTGAAGATTTCTCAACAGCCAACTATCCTAATTCAATGAATTTTTTTTTATTTTAATTCCATGGATGTATATAATTAAAATAAAATTATTTTATTAAGTTTAATTGAATAGTTAGTGGGAAAACATCGCTAGGATTTTAAAAAAACGGGTAAAAATTAAAAATAACCAAAATTTGATTGGCTAATCAAAATGTTCTAGATTGCAGATCAGCGAAATTCTGTCGGTGCCACTGGGGTACTTTCAGTAGTGTACAGTAATCAACCTTGGCAATACCTGATGAATGTTTCACCATCATTTACGAATGGTGAACCGTTTCGTAAAGCAATTTCTGAATAACGAACGATGAAATCTATGACGGATGACAAAGCCTAAGAATAATAAAATGCAATTTAAATAAAATAGTCCGTGCATAATTAATTTTTCTTTGTTATCCTATCTACCTATTTTTCTGACTTTCTAGCATATATCTAATCCGATATTACTTTATAAAGCTTTACACACTCAACCAGTATTCTTTCATTTTTTTTGATGGAGAAAACTGAAAAAAAATATCATCATCTCCCAATTTCGTATACACTTTAGCTATTATGTTACTTACAAGCAGATTCTAAATCAATTTTAGTTCGTTCCCACTTAATGCTCATATTCATCCTTCCCGAATAATTGTGCGCAATCATGCAATAAAACAACAGCCAATGACTGTACATATACCGCAACATCATTTTGTAAACCGAGATAAACCAGTATGAATCAATCATAAAATGATTGTTCAGTCCAAACCCATACGCTAGGTTGGCCAATGGTCCAAAATGCGGCTTAGCAAATGCCAATGGACAATATCCATTGAAAATTTATACAGAACCCATCATGGTCCATTGCCAACCCTGCCTATACGATAAACCAGATCATTCTCATCTACTTAAAGGATGACAATAATCTGAGACTGGCTTGAACTAGTTTTGGTGCAATTCGTTCCGGTTTAAGATCCTTGATGCTATAAATAATTTTCAATACCTAGTTATTTGAGGACATTCATTACTTTAGCGTAAACGATCTTGAAAAATGGTTTCAAAAGAAGCTTTTGATCTTTGTGACTCTTTGCTTATACTTATTATTTTCTTTTTAAATTTTTTGTGCTTCGTAAATGGTATGAATTTGAACATTTCATTAATGCACAATTATAAAGCAATTTGATATATAAATATAAAAATTACTCCATTAATTGCATCCGAAGACATTACATGGATTAGTATTATAATAGATCGTTATACGTAAGTATTGGTACTAGTTGTGACATACATGATTCCACTTTTTTTTCTTAAGAGTTTGATTTTATTAGAGTTGATGGTTCTTCAATTTATTCCATTGCTGTCTCTTTTATTGGGCTTGTAATTAGTGGTTTGTACTTCAATTTTGTTTACATACAAATAACCATGTGGTAACTGTTGCACATGAAATCTTTAAATTTAATGTGATATATAAAGCCTAATGCCTTAGTATAGTTCTCAATCTAAATTAAAAAAAATTTGATTTATTTTTATTTGCAATAAAAAGATTCAAATTTCGTTACGCAATAATAGCAAATAATGAATTATACATTTGTTTCATAGGGTTGTTTCTATCAAAATTTAAAAGTCCGAGTTGGATAGCTCCAAGATCTTTGCTTAAGTGGAGTGTGCTTTTATTTAGGTAAAATGAAATATAAAATTTATTTTTAAAAGAATGTTGCTATTTACCTATGGCGATATCACCGGGGGACGTTGTCTTAAAAACCTAACCTACTAGCTAACTCACGTCAGAGATACTAAGTAAAATTCAGAATCCCCAAACCTAACTAATATTTAGACCTCTACAACTACCCCTAACCTTGTCTAAAATTGTACCCAACCCTAAATTTTGATTTTAAAAAAATAATAAGAGATGGTGGTATCGCGGTAAATACTAAATTTATTTTAAAATTTCTCATTTAATTAAATTGATATTTTTTGTCTAGCTTTCTTTTGGTAGTGTATATTCCTTACGGTATTAAAATTTTGATTTCATTTTTTTTTATCTATAATAGTTTTAATTTATATACTAAGCATTAACAAAATTTCTGATAACGTTTTTAGCTATTCTTAAAATTTACAGCTTAATAAATTATCGATATCAAGATCCTACTGTGTATTATGCTTCTTATCTTTACCCGGTTACTAGTCCCTCTTCTAAATATACAACTTCTTACCTTTATAATCCTTCCTCTGATTATAAATTTGAAATTTCAATATCAGAATATGGATATGCAAATCTAATTATTTCTATTATATATAGTTGGCTTTTGATTTTTTCATATGCAACTATTTTGATTTTAATATGTATTTCAAAATTTGTAAAAGATATGGTTCAGCAACGCATGGAAGATATGGAAATCTCTGCAAATGTAGTATACGAGGGTTCAGCCTAATATCAAAATGTTTTTTAATTTGGTAAAGTTATTTATTGTCTTATTATTTTTGCATTTAAAAGTTTGGCTACAAATTAACAAATTAGCATAATAATATTAATAGTTATTAACTATTTTATTTTTATTTTTGTACTATAGTTGCTTAATGCGAGTATTTTAGCGATCTGTGAAGCATAAACCTTAGCAAAAGATAAAAATTTAGTAAATACAAAATTTAAACTCTCCAAGAAAGATACCATTTTCAAACTCTAACAAATATAAAATCTAAATACTGTATTATGCGAGTGAAAAAAAGTGTTGATCCCAAAATCTTTTTGATCAGAACTCAAAACCTTCATCGCTAGCATTTACAACAGTATTTAAAATTACACATAGGATTTGCGCAAAATTAATTATCCATTTTGAATTATAACAAATATGTCTACTTAAAGAAAAAAAATAATAAATCGCTCAATATTATTTAAGCAATTTATTATTTTTTAATATCTAATTTGATGTATTTATTTTTGAAAATCAAATATATATTATATTTTAAAGATTTAAGAAATAAATAGTTAACTAGCTATAAAGTTTTAAGAAATTAAAGTTTATAAAACATAAAAGAATTAATATATCTGTAGCCATAGATTATATGTTGTCATGTTAGATGTCGCTTTCAAATGACCGTCGATTAAAAATTGACGTACGTGAGTTTAAAATTTATACTGAGTAAATATAACGTACGTCAATTTTAGTACAAGTTTAATAAAGCATTTTAAAATATGTATTTTTTTAAAAAAATATAGATATATATATCTCTTTACAATATGGCATCGAATATTTCATTAATTTTTTCGTTTTTTCGCTTAACCTTTTACAAAGTTCAAACATACTTTGATAATACCTTTAACAACTTAGTAGATCTGCTTGTCAATAATCATATATCATGTCCTACCTTACTTTTTAACCATACCAATTTTGTGGTGCTGCGTGTACACATGTGACCAGCGATCGGGTACGTACAGTAGCCAACAAAAGTAACACCCGATAGTTTTTTTATAGTAAAACATATAAAAAATTGAAATTTATGTGAATGTAAAAGTTAATATTCTATTTATTTAAAAAAATTTTTTTAATATGATTAGTAAATTCAATATTTATATTCTATAATATGTGAGTTTTATTGGGGCAAACAAATAAAGATTTTTTTTAAAAAAATTATGAAGTTTATAATTCAAAATTTCATATATAAAACTTATAAAATGTAAATTTGGCTTTAAAATTAAATATAAAATTCTAAAAAATTATTTTTAAAAAAACATAACAAACTCTTTAAATATTAGTTTTAACTCTATAGTTCTTAATACAATATTGTAGTTTATATAAAGAATGACAACTTTCATTATTATATACAGGTTGAACCAATGAATAACAGGTACATATGTACCCATTATTCTACCACATATCTGCAAACTGTAGCATATCGGTAGCATATTGGTAATATATAGATTAGATATTAGGAGGTAGATCGATAATAGTAATATAATAGTAACATACTAGAATATTCTGATATCTTACTCTTATCCAAATAGTGCTAAGAGTAAGATATTAGGATGTCCCAATATGTTACTATTATATTACTATTATCAATCTACCTCCCAATATGTTACCAATATGCTACTAATATACTACACTTATTTGGCAGATGTGTGATAGAATTATAGATACTACTGTATTGGGAGATTTGTCTCCCAATATATACCTGTTATTTATTGATTCAACCTGTAATATTTTTGATAATTTATTAATAAAAATTAAGACTTGTATTAAAAGCAAAAATTTTTTTAAAAGCAAAACATATAAAAATTTAGAAAATTTTATAGTAAAAATTTCTTAAGTAAGAGCTTTAAATTTTTATTACTCTAAAGATTTCTGGTAAAATTAAAAAAAAATTTATAATAAAGCTTATAGAATATATTTTGAAAATAACTATATTTACCCAAGGATAAAATTATCACCCTTAATTATTTTTAGAGTTAGGGTTAGTGCTTGACAAAATCAAACAAAAACTTGATTATCAAGTTTTTGAATCTATCAATTTATAGTATTGTGCTTCAATTATAAAATTTATTTTTACAAGGGTGCGGCAACCTAGTGAAGTGGTGGGGTTGCTGCACCCCCAAGCGGCAGGTCTAGAGTTCGAATCCCACGGATG